ATCTCCATGGAAACAGTTTAGTGTGTTTTATTCTCCTGTGTTCTGGCTTACAGGGTAAAATCTACTTGTCTGCACTCTGGAGGTAAATCTCTTCATATGTAGCAGTGCTCTACACAGCTGGAGTTATTTGACCATTCGGTGACGAAAGGGTTCAATCTTCATCTCGGTTCTAATCATCTATCCCCACTACAAACCCAACGGACCTTTAGAAGCTGGAAGGTGCAGGAATAGCGACTCCAGTTCTATTTCAACTTTCACCATCTGACATCTCTGAAGACCAGAATTGCTTTCATTGACGCCGCCCAAACCTGCTCCTCTGGCCTCCACAGTAGCACAAACACAGCCTTAATGAGTGAAAACAGGGGCAATTAAAAACAAAATGCTGCAGTGAGGCGCCTCCACCACCTCCTCTGGCATTTCATCAGAGTCAACACAGAGGAGTGAGCGGCGGCCCGTGGGCAGGGCTTTTTTTGTCCCTCCCTCCTTCCACTCAGAAAACAAAAGGTGTGCATGGGGGCGGGGGCACAAGGATGGAGTGAAAACCAGTTTTCACTTTATTACTGTGGAGTATTGTCTGCAGATTGATGAGGAAAAAATGAATTGAGTCCATTTTAATATGAGTCTCACACATAAAATGTGTAAAACTTGAAGGGGGCTGAAAACTTGCCCTACCTGAGCAAGACACTGAACCCCGAATTGCTCCCGGTGGCTTGACTAGCGCCGGTGCATGGCAGCCTGTCGTCATCGGTGTGTGAATGTTGTGTGTGAATGGGTGAATGGTGTATGATCTTCTGTAAAGCGCTTTGGCCAGTACAACACACTGTGAGAAATATATAAAATACAGTCCACTTACCATTTACCATTTACCTACCCTTTAGCAAATTACAATTATGTTAATTAGCCAACAAACTAATAAACCTGCTAAACACAGATGCCATCTCAGCAACACCCAGTTTAGAAGCTGCTTTTATTTACTCGTGTTGTTTACTTCTGTTTGGTGGTATATTCCTGAATCATCACCTGAATCTGCAGCGCACATCTCTCCTGTTATTTCACACACACACACACACACAATCATCTAAAAGAGCAGGACAGACAAAGGTACAGCATGAAACTGAAGTAACTTTAATTCTGGCCAATAAGCTGTTTCTTAGGTTTAGTGATAATAATCCAAAGTCAGCTGGCCAGTGTGTTACAGGGCTGACATGTAGACAAATAACCACACACACACACACACAACTTAGTCACCAATCCAAGGTGCATGTCTATGGGAGGAAGCCGGAGCATCCAGAGAGAACCCCCACAGGGAGAACATGCTGACTCCACACAGAAAGGGCTCGAACCAGGAGCCTTGTTGTTGTGAGGCAACAGCTCTAACCACTGCACTGCTGTGCTGCCAATAATGCAAAAAAAATTGTGAAAACACACCAGACTTCATGTAAAAACATCATGTCTCTGATGTTCCTCTATGAGGTATGTCACTCCGTGTGTTTGCACTCAGATTCTCCAGACCCTCTTGTTGTAAATCTTTGGTTTCTCCAAATCTGAGATTTGATCATTAACATAATCGACACCCCTAAAATCACCATATTTGGACTTCCTGTTCTGCTTCATTGGGAAGGTTCACAAACAAGAGTAAAAAGGGGCACATGCACATTAGTTTTCCTACTTCCTGACATTTGGTAGACGTGACAGCTGATAGAAACAAACATCTGGCAGACTGATCACAAATCAACCAGGTCCTGCACCTGATTCAAGTCTGTCACGTGGCTTTATAGTTTACACCTTTATGCAAAAATCAGGGCTGCAGTTAAAGGTTATTTTCCCCATTAATCATTGAACTCCGAGGTGTCAGAAATAGCAGGCATGGCTGTTAAAATGTCCCAGAATGCACCGAGCTTCCCCCGTCAACATATCAAAGACATTCAGTCTATTGTCATGGACACGTGTAAGGAAACTTTCTCATCTTCTCACTTCACAAGCTGGAGTCAACAAATATGACACTTGTGCTTAAATTAATCAATGATGAAAATTCTTTTTGCACTGATCAACCCACTGATGTTGCAGCTCTAGTAAAAACATCCCACACATCAACATCTGCACGCGCGCACGAACACAGGGGCCTCTACAATACAGCCGCAAACCGAGCCCTTATTATTTCGGTCCTCACAGGAATGTGTAAACGCGGATTAGAACCTCTGGACCGAGGCGGCCTGGGACGTCACACCTGTGCAGGTAAAGTAGACAGTCAACATCAGCTGCGGATGCGAAGCCATGTTGTGACACAGAGGCAGCTGTGCGGTGTGTCGCTGCGTTTGCAGGCTTGTGTGTGTTCACTGATGCTCAGACTCGCAGGACCCACTGAGGCTGCTGCCGACTGACCCACTTTCCGCAGGACAACGAGCTGCTGCCGCCTCATACGCGGACCTGCGGGGCCACAAGGCGTCCCCCTCACCGCTCCACCATCGCCACCCACTCCACTGTCTCTCCTTCACCTCTTGCAACAACTTCTACACAACAAAATCCCTTTTATCTGCTGTTTCCACACACAAAGACCCAGGGGCAGCAGTCGCTTCACATGCAACCAGACAGGCGGGAGCAGCAATCGCTCAGCATTTACCGAAAAAGCGCGTCCTTACCCGGACAAAGCAGTGCAGACACACGGTGAGGAACAGCGGGGACAGCATGGTGCCTCTCCGTCCGACGGCTTCACCAAACTCCAGCTTCTCCCTCTCGGGCTGCCGCGCATACAAACAATGGCAGTTTTTCTGCTGCGGTGTTTCCGCTCCGCGCACGGATTCACTCTGCAGCTCTAACTGCACACCACTACCGTCATCATCATCACCCCAGTGGACCGCAGCTCGAACCGGACCCGCTGTGATTCAGAGGAAACGGGCCAGGCTCCGAGGTCCATACCGCGGCCTGAGGACGAGCAGGAGGTTGATGTCGGGGAGCGGTGATGGAGCTGCTGCTGCTGCTGCTGCGCGGTGTCGCCCCGCCCTGCGCTCCGGAGGCTGCACGGAGACACGCACAGGTCCTCCCCCTCCTCCTTCTCATCTTCATCAGCATTACAGCATGTGCTCCCTGGAAACCACCGACAGGAGAGGAGCTAGGGCGCTCGCTCTTGTCTTTCTGGGGAGGTTTAGAGGAAATGGGACCCGATAACCGACGTTATCTGCTCTCTGTCCTACTAACAAGTTTTTGGAATCATTTTTTACATTCACTGACACGGAGCTGAGATCACTGGGACGAGCAGTCGTCCATAAAGACAACAGTGGACGAGAAACTGTGTTTATCTGTTTGTTTGCTGAATGTTTTCCATCTTCCTTCATATTTTACATCAATCCTGTGTCAGTACCCACCTGCAGACCCATCGCTTGTTCTGGTTCTGCAGACTGCTGCGGGACCGGTAACAGGACGCCCCCTGCAAGTGGAAACAGCGCATGACACGCACAGGCTGACAGGCCACATTCACGCACGCTGTATGCCCCCTGGTTCTACACCACCACGAGTTATTTGTACATAAAAATCTAATTAATACAAGCACACAAAGCCACTCATTATACATCAGACTATGAGACAGACGTGTCCTGTCTGGTGTCATTCCTCATAATAAGACTTCTGTGTACAGGAGAAATGATGTCTGTGTGTCAGCAGCTTTGTTTCTTAAGATAGGAACAGTAGAGTAGACCAACTTCTGTCTAAGCAACTCAAGTAGTATTTACTAATCTATTACTATTGGTGGGTCACTGTGTTAGAAATTAATAAATTAGTCAGATAATTATTAGACTTTAATGTGTGTTAGTAATGCAGTTTAGTAAGATTCAAAGTCTGCTCTAGTCTGCTCTGTTTCAAGGTTAGCAGTAAGCCATGACACCAATTGTTTTCTTGTATTAATCTTGTGTAAGAATTATGTCTGAATGAATGTTTAGTTACATATCATGCATACAACATCCACACACATTGAGCTACCTCATTTTATTATGACTAGGTAATACGCAGCTGCTCCAAGAATGTGAAGCTCTAGATAAGAGATGGAATCTGCGGGACGGACTTCATCTGTGTAAGGGGTTAGCCCAAAACTGATAAATGTATTAGGCTCTGTGTTTCTGTGTGCTTTTGTCCCTGTTCTTTTCTCCAGCAGCTTGTCTGAAGGAGGGAGCCCTGGGTTGTGTTCTGTAATCCTTTCATTTACACATTTGTAAATAAACCAGCACTAAAATCAAGAAAGACGGACTCCTTGTTTACTCAGATCTGTCCAGTAAAAGAACGGGTATAACACAAGGGAAACCCTAATAAAATCCATTAATACTGTTATAAATTATAAATGTTTAGATATGAAATTCTAACGTGGATATGCGAAATCATTTAAAGTAATTAGGGGACATAAAAGTTGACAGCTTTTGATCTAGAGGGAAGCGAGGTGTGAAAAGTGGGCAGGACTTGGGATTTGAAGCATGATGTCAGAGGCCATAAATCTTCTCTTCACACCTCACTTTGACCGGTGTGGCATTCTTATACTCTCTGAGACTGTATGGGAAATTCTAGAAAAGTCCAGATGTACATAGAGCAGAGGCAGGTACAGGGCACATTTGACTGTACTTTGTTGTAAGATGTCAAATAGATTGGATGTCTTTAAGGGTTATTCCCCTCAAGGCCTTTATGACATTTACATTCACAAGAATGGGAAAGACATAAGGACATTGTGAGCTTGGTACCAGAATTGAATCAGATTACCCTTGAGTCCAAGCAAACTACTGTATCAGTTTTGAAAAAAATTCCCTCAAGGCGTTCCAGACATAGGCCTATCCCATCCACAAGAATGGACCAACCCCAAAATATAACACCTCTGGCATGGAGACATAGGAATAAATAAATATAAAAAAAATATTAACAGTCTAAGAACAAATTTGTTCTTCCTATTTACAGAATAAATGTTATCCTAGTAATGATCCACAAATAAATTTAATAAATAGTTTTTTTTAAATTTGTATTTTTTACCCAAGCAATCTCTATTGCATCATCACCATCTGTTACCTGGTGTTTTGGAGTTTTGTATGGAGACACCGGGGAGATTTGGGGTGATCCAATGGTCCACAGCAAACTCTACAAGTTTTTGTCTAAATGGTTAAATACAGTTCCTAAAGATAAGCAGGATAATGGAAATGCAAAAAGAAGAAAACTGATTTTTGGGGACAGTGACAGTCCTCCCCCACAAGGGGGTGCTATAGGGCTGTTTTTGAAGCAAGCCTCTCTAAGTGCAGTGAGGGCTAAACAGGAAGTGAAGTCCTGTATTTCTTTAACTAGGAACAAAACAGAAGCCAGATTAAAACAAGCTGAGAGTTTTCTTGCCGATTGTGTATGCTTTTTGGAGACTTTTAAGTGTTTTCAGTCTCCTTCAGCCAGTTCAAGCAAGTCACAGAAAACGGTTGATGTTAATTCTCCCAGTGGCACAGCTGTTTCAGTCCAAGCTGTCTCTGATAGAGATTGTAAGGTACATTTTGGTCACACACAGCAGTCTTCCCCAGAATCTCCACGAGGAAAGAGGAAGTCAATATTGAAGAGTGGCTTACAAATGCCACAGAGAGAAACACAGGACATGGCGCCCCTGGTGGTTGTACAGGGAGGAATTTTGAACACAGCATCAGTTCCAGGAAGTAAAGCTGACAGACTTACAGAACAGACTTATCTGAATGAGTTAAAATCTGGCTGTGTAGACCAGGTCATAACCCCAGTAGTTGGCGCATGCGCCTCTAGCTCTTTCACAGAGGAAGAGGATAGACATTGTTGTGACGTGTCAGTACAAGCAATGTCTCACGAGAGTGATTCCAGCTGGTATGGCACAGTGCATGATTTTTCATTACAACATATGCAGAAAGGACAGAGAAATATCCATGATTGTTTTGGCATTCCTTCACACCAGCTGCCATTGCTACAGTCCATCTCACCTCAGGAAGAGATAACACAGACTTATACCCCCTTCAGCCTACAAGATATGTGCATGGTTAAATCTCAGCTGCCTGACATTGAGAAAGGAGGTGCACCGTGGATTAAGGTATTTTTAGGTGCGTGTGCAGGATTTGTGCCTGCACTTGGAGATTTTCGTCATGTTTTTTACAGCCTGTACTTCTCTGAGCATGTTACGGGAGATAGAATTAATGGCAAATACCATTGGGGATCCTGATAATGTTGCTCTCCACATTGAAGTTCATCAGCTCTGGCCAGTGATACGCCAGAAATTCCCAGTACAGGTGCGCTCTGTTGAGCTGTGTAGAATTCCACCTCAAGAGGGTGAGAAAGGCAGTCAGTATTTGCTCAGAGTGCGTGAACT